GGTCACGACGAGGCATTCCCCATAGCGACCCCTAGAGGACGCAGTTCGAAGTTCCCATGAAAGGGAACTTCCTTGCTTCAGAGAGCCGTTAACTATATTAATTAAGGACTCAGTCATTTAAACAACATACTTTAGGTATAGGGTCAAGATAGGAATATTACTGGGAAATAGTTTGCAAAAGATTCTGTTTATTAGCTCTCTTGAACACTTCCATTTAATGCTGTGGATATATTATTGATTCTTCTATAGAAATGTTATCAGTATAATGTACAGAAGGCTTAATTTGTATTATTATTATTATTATTATTATTATTATTATTATTATTCAATATGCAGCAACATTTTAACACGTTTACAGAAGGATGATTAAAACAATTGTAAGATTAATTATTTAAATAACATAAATAGTTGAAAAAAGCACTCTGTGATTGTTACTATTTCCATTAATAAGTTTATTTATTTATTTATTTATTTTTAATTAAATAATTACCTTTTAGAGTGCACTGTTTTTATATATACCTGAATGCCATTTATTAGAATGTCACGATGACCTGACATGTGCATTTATTCTTCCACTGCAAACCTGATATTTTTCTTAAATATTAATCTGAGATTATTACAAAGAAAACAATCATTTTTTTCATAAGTGGAGGCTCAACAACAGTACATTTAAAATAATTGGGAAAAAATCCTGTTTACTGAGAGAAATTCAGGATCAAGATGGGAACATCTCTGAGAATTAGTTTGCAGAAGATACTCTTTATTAACTGTCCTACACATTTGCAGTAGAATCCTCAAACATTTTTACAGAGGGCTGATCTAACTAATTGTAAGGGTGGTTATTAAATGACAATCAATAGTATAAAAAAGCACTCTGTGATTGTTACCATTTTCATTAATATATTTTTAAATAAAATTATTGTCTTTCAGAGTGCATTGTTTTTATATATTTTTATTTGTATAATGCTATTCAATAGAATCTCGCTATGAACTAACAGGTGCGTTTATTTCTTCAGGGCAATTTATTAGATATGGATCTTATTTGAATTTTATCTAGAGCCACGGTATACAGAAAAAGATTTTAAAAGACATTAAAACTATCAACCTATTGTGGGAATTTCTGTTGTTGTCTCAGTTGTGGTGCTTTCTGTTGTTGTGGTTTCCATTGTTGTACTTTCTGAAGTTGTAATACCAGTGGTGGTACTTTCTGTTGTAATGCTTTTTGTTGTTGTGGTCTCTGTTGTCTTACTTTCTGGAGTGGTTGTGCCAGTGGTTGTACTTTCTGTCACTGTGGTGCTTTCTGGAGTTGTGGTACCGGCTGAAGTGCTTTCTGTTGTTGTGGCCTCTGTTGTGGTTTGGGTTGTTGTGCTTTCTGGTGTTGTGGTACCTGTGGTGGTGCTTTCTGTAGTTGTGGTTTCCATTGTTGTACTTTCTGAAGTTGTGATACCAGGGGTAGTACTTTCTGTTGTAGTGCTTTCTCTTGTTGTGGTCTCTATTGTTGTACTTTCTGGAGTGGTTGTGCCAGTGGTTGTACTTTCTGTTGCTGTGGTGCTTTCTGGAGTTGTAGTACCCGTTGTGGTGCTTTCTGTTGTTGTGGTCTCGGTTGTTGTGCTTTCTGGTGTTGTGGTACCTGTGATGGTGCTTTCTGTTGTTGTAGTGTCTGTTGTGGTGCTTTCTATAGTTGTGATGTCCATTGTTGTACTTTCTGAAGTTGTAATACCAGGGGTGGTACTTTCTGTTGTAGTGCTTTCTGTTGTTGTGGTCTCTGTTGTGGTCTCGGCCGTTGTGCTTTCTGGTGTTGTTGTACTTGTGGAAGTGCTTTCCAGTGTTATGGTACCTGTGGTGGTGCTTTCTGTTGTTGTAGTGTCTGTTGTGGTCTCGGTTGTTGTGCTTTCTGAAGTTGTAATACCAGTGGTGGTACTTTCTGTTTTAGTGCTCTCTGTTGTTGTGGTCTCTGTTGTCATACTTTCTGAAGTGGTTGTACTTTCTGTCATTGTGGTGCTTTCTGGAGTTGTGGTACCGGTTGTGGTGCTTTCTGTTGTTGTGGTACCTGTGGTGGTGCTTTCTGTTGTTGTAGTGTCTGTTGTGGTTTCCATTGTTGTACTTTCTGAAGTTGAAATACCAGTGGTGGTACTTTCTGTTGTAGTGCTTTCTGTTGTTGTTGTTTCTATTGTTGTACTTTCTGGAGTGGTTGTGCCAGTGGTTATACTCTCTGTCACTGTGGTGCTTTCTGGAGTTGTGGTACCCGTTGTTGTGCTTTCTGATGTTGTGGTCTTGGTTGTTGTGCTTTCCGGTGTTGTGGTACCTGTAGTGGTGCTTTCTGGTGTTGTGGTACCCGTTGTGGTGCTTTCTGTTGTTGTGGTCTGTGTTGTGGTCTCGGTTGTTGTGCTTTCCGGTGTTGTGGTACCTGTAGTGGTGCTTTCTGGTGTTGTGGTACCCGTTGTGGTGCTTTCTGTTGTTGTGGTCTGTGTTGTGGTCTCGGTTGTTGTGCTTTCCGGTGTTGTGGTACCTGTAGTGGTGCTTTCTGGTGTTGTGGTACCCGTTGTGGTGCTTTCTGTTGTTGTGGTCTGTGTTGTGGTCTCGGTTGTTGTGCTTTCCGGTGTTGTGGTACCTGTAGTGGTGCTTTCTGGTGTTGTGGTACCGGATGTGGTGCTTTCTGTTGTTGTGGTCTCGGTTATTGTGCTTTCTGGTGTTGTGGTACCTGTGGTCGTGCTTTGTGTTGTTGTAGTGTCTTTTGTGGTGCTTTCTATAGTTGTGATTTCCATTGTTGTACTTTCTGAAGTTGAAATACCAGGGGTGGTACTTTCTGTTGTAGTGCTTTCTGTTGTTGTTGTTTCTATTGTTGTACTTTCTGGAGTGGTTGTGCCAGTGGTTATACTCTCTGTCACTGTGGTGCTTTCTGGAGTTGTGGTACCCGTTGTTGTGCTTTCTGATGTTGTGGTCTGACGTCGTGCTTTCTGTTGTTGTAGTGTCTGTTGTGGTGCTTTCTATAGTTGTGATTTCCATTGTTGTACTTTCCAAAGTTGTAATACCAGGGGTGGTACTTTCTGTTGTAGTGCTTTCTGTTGTTGTAGTGTCTGTTGTGGTATCGGTTGTTGTGATTTCTGGTGTTGTGGTACCTGTAGTGGTGCTTTCTGGTGTTGTAGTGTCTGTTGTGGTCTCGGTTGTCGTGCTTTCTGTTGTTGTGGTCTCAGATATTGTGCTTTCTGTCATTGTGGTGCTTTCTGGAGTTGTGGTACTGTTTGTGGTGCTTTCTGTTGTTGTCATCTCTGTTGTGGTCTTGGTTGTTGTGCTTTCTGGTGTTGTAGCACCCGTGGTGGTGCTTTCTGTTGTTGTAGTGTCTGTTGTCGAGCTTTCTGTAGTCATGGTTTCCATTGTTGTAATTTCTGAAGTTGTAATACCAGTGGTGGTACTTTCTGTTGTTGTGGTCTCTGTTGTGGTCTCCGTCGTTGTGCTTTCTGGTGTTGTGGTACCTGTGGTGGTGCTTTCTGTTGTTGTAGTGTCTGTTGTGGTCTCGGTTGTTGTACTTTCTGGTGTTGTGGTACCTGTGGTGGTGCTTTCTGGTGTTGTGGTAGCTGTGGTGGTGCTTTCTATAGCTTTGGTTTCTGTTCTTGCGCTTTCTGATGTTGTAATTCCAGGGGTGGTACTTTCTGTTGTAGTGCTTTCTGTTGTTGTACTTTCTGAAGTGGTGGTGCCAATGGTTGTACTTTCTGTCATTGTGGTGCTCTCTGGAGTTGTGGTACCAGTTGTGGTGCTTTTTGTTGTTGTGGTCTCGGTTGTTGTGCTTTCTGCTGTTGTGGTATCTGTGGTGGTGCTTTCTGTTGTTGTAGTGTCTGTTGTGGTGCTTTCTGGAGTGGTTGTGCCAGTGGTTGTACTTTCTGTCACTGTGGTGCTTTCTGGAGTCGTGGTACCGGTGGCGGTGCTTTCTCTTGTTGTGGTCTCTGTGGTAGTACTTTCTGTGGTGGTGCCTTCTGTTGTTGTAATCTTAGTTGTGGTGGTACTCTCTATTGTTGTGGTTTCAGTTGTTTCCCCGGGGGTAGTACTTTCTGTTGTTGTGGTTTCCATTGTTGTACTTTCTGAAATTGTAGTACCAGGGGTGGTACTTTCTGTTTTAGTGCTTTCTGTTATTTTGGTCTCTGTAGTGGTACTTTCTGGAGTAGTTGTGCCAGTGGTTGTACTTTCTGTCACTGTGGTGCTTTCTGGAGTCGTGGTACCGGTGGCGGTGCTTTCTCTTGTTGTGGTCTCTGTGGTAGTACTTTCTGTGGTGGTGCCTTCTGTTGTTGTAATCTTAGTTGTGGTGGTACTCTCTATTGTTGTGGTTTCAGTTGTTTCCGCGGGGGTGGTACTTTCTGTTGTTGTGGTCTCCTTTGTTGTACTTTCTGGAGTGGTGGTGCCAGTGGTTGTACTTTCTAACACTGTGGTGCTTTCTGGAGATGTGGTACTTGTTGTGGTGGTGCTTTCTGTTGTCGTGCTTTCTGTAGTTGTGGTCTCTGTTGTCGTAATTTCTGGAGTGGTTTTGCCAGTGGTTGTACTTTCTGTCACTGTGGTGCTTTCTGGAGTAGTGGTCTTGGATGTTGAGCTTTCAGGTGTTGTGGTACCTTTGGTGTTGCTTTCTGTTGTTGTAGTGTCTGTTGTCGTGCTTTCTGTAGTCGTGGTTTCTATCGTAGTAACTTCTGAAGTTGTAATACCAGTGGTGGTACTTTCTGTTGTAGTGCTTTCTGTTGTTGTGCTTTCTGGTGTTGTGGTACCTGTGGTGGTGCTTTCTGGTGTTGTGGTAGCTGTGGTGGTGCTTTCTATAGCTTTGGTTTCTGTTCTTGCGCTTTCTGATGTTGTAATTCCAGGGGTGGTACTTTCTGTTGTAGTGCTTTCTGTTGTTGTACTTTCTGAAGTGGTGGTGCCAATGGTTGTACTTTCTGTCATTGTGGTGCTCTCTGGAGTTGTGGTACCAGTTGTGGTGCTTTTTGTTGTTGTGGTCTCGGTTGTTGTGCTTTCTGCTGTTGTGGTATCTGTGGTGGTGCTTTCTGTTGTTGTAGTGTCTGTTGTGGTGCTTTCTGGAGTGGTTGTGCCAGTGGTTGTACTTTCTGTCACTGTGGTGCTTTCTGGAGTCGTGGTATCGGTGGCGGTGCTTTCTCTTGTTGTGGTCTCTGTGGTAGTACTTTCTGTGGTGGTGCCTTCTGTTGTTGTAATCTTAGTTGTGGTGGTACTCTCTATTGTTGTGGTTTCAGTTGTTTCCGCGGGGGTGGTACTTTCTGTTGTTGTGGTCTCCTTTGTTGTACTTTCTGGAGTGGTGGTGCCAGTGGTTGTACTTTCTAACACTGTGGTGCTTTCTGGAGATGTGGTACTTGTTGTGGTGGTGCTTTCTGTTGTCGTGCTTTCTGTAGTTGTGGTCTCTGTTGTCGTAATTTCTGGAGTGGTTTTGCCAGTGGTTGTACTTTCTGTCACTGTGGTGCTTTCTGGAGTAGTGGTCTTGGATGTTGAGCTTTCAGGTGTTGTGGTACCTTTGGTGTTGCTTTCTGTTGTTGTAGTGTCTGTTGTCGTGCTTTCTGTAGTCGTGGTTTCTATCGTAGTAACTTCTGAAGTTGTAATACCAGTGGTGGTACTTTCTGTTGTAGTGCTTTCTGTTGTTGTGCTTTCTGGTGTTGTGGTACCTGTGGTGGTGCTTTCTGGTGTTGTGGTAGCTGTGGTGGTGCTTTCTATAGCTGTGGTTTCCATTGTTGTGCTTTCTGAAGTTGTGATAACAGGCTTAGTACTTTCTGGAGTTGTGGTGCCTTCTGTTGTTGTGATCTCAGTTGTGGTGCCTGTGGTGGTACTTTCTATTGTTGTGGTCTCCGTTGTTGTGCCGGGGGTGGTACTTTCTGTTGTTGTGGTCTCCATTGTTTTACTTTCTGGAGTGGTGGGGCCAGTGGTTGTACTTTCTGTCATTGTAGTGCCTTCTGTTGTTGTGGTCTCCGTTGTGGTGCTTTCTGTTATTATATAATAGGAAATCATTAATCAAACTTTGTTTAGCACTTTTAATAATAAATCCAGCTCAAAGTGCTTAATAAAAATACTTGTTTTGAAAATCTGAAAGATTGAAGACTGTCTAATTTAAATTGGTTGACAGTTCCAAATTCCAAATTTATAGTGGCTAAAAGAAGCACCATAGATTCACTTAGGATTTATTGCATAGTTTTCCAAAAGACCATCACTAGAACATTTTAAATTATGACTTGGAACATAATAACATGAAAATCAATCCTTTCTTGAACTGGCAACCAGTGTAATTGTATTAAAACTATTAATATGGTCTCTCCTTCTTGATTTAATCAGTACTTTGCCCGCTGCATTTTGTATCATAATAACATGCCGTTCTTGAACTGGCAACCAGTGTAATTGTATTAAAACTGTTAATATGGTCTCTCCTTCCTCTCCTTCTCAGTACTTTGCCCGCTGCATTTTGTATCAATTATAGCTAAGCTATGGTACATTATACATAGCATTACAGTAATCATGATGAGCAAAAATAATAAGTAAAGTTTTTGTCACTTTATTAATATGAGATTTAAAACTCAAATCTTAGTCCATAATCACACCTAGGTTCTTTACTTGTATCTTAGTTTTTAGAATAAAGGTGCATAATCCAGCTTCTATCCTTCCTCTTACATGCTCAGCGCCCTCAATAAGAGTTTCCGTTTTATCTTCAAGCAACAGTGTCTCTGAAATCAGCTGAAATTTATAATTATATATCATCTGCATAAAATTGCTAATGCATCCCATGTTTCTGAGTTATACTGGCCAGAAGTATAATGTATAATGATAATAAATGTAGCCTAAGAATTTAATCTTTAGGAACACCATATAGTATTTCATATTTATTTGATACATAGTCACCTATGTTAATAAATTATTACCTTTCTGCAATATATGTCTTGAACCAATTTAGAAGTTTAACCGATTAAGACTGATGCATTGTTCATATTTGTTTATACCTCAAATTATGTACTACTTTAAATTTACTTACTTAAAAATTATATGTTAGAAATTGGTCTCAGAATATTACAGAGAAAACAATGCAGAATATTACCGGAGAGACCAATTTCCAGTCAATTAAGCAAAATTAAATGATCATGTGTCAAATGCTTCACTTAGGTCAAAGAGGATTAAGACATGCATTGTTCATATTTTGTTTTATTTCAAATTATTTACTACATTATATTTTACATTTAATTAACTATATTAATTAAAGACATAGTCATTTAAACAACATACTTCAGGTATAGGTTCAAAATAGGAATATCACTGCGAAACAGTTTGCAAAAGTTTCTGTTCATTAGCTCTCCTGAACACTTCTATTTTATGCTGTGGATATATGATTCTTCTTGATTCTACTATAGAAATTGTATCAGTATAATTTACAGAAGACTTGATTTGTTTTATTATTATTATTCTTTATTTTTATTCAATATGCAGCAAAATGTTCACACATGGTTACAGAAGGATGATTTAACAAATTATGAGATTCGATATTTAAAATTGTGGTCTCCGTTGTGGTGCTTTCTGTTATTATATAATAGGAAATCATTAATCAAACTTTGTTTAGCACTTTTAATAATAAATCCAGCTCAAAGTGCTTAACAAGAAAAATACCTACAAACAAAATTAAAAATGTTCCACATTTACACTGCAACCTCACACAACAATGGTATCAGTTGTTGTGGTATCACATCAACTTGTATCAGTATACAAAACATATTTTAAAAATACTTTTCTTGTGTTTTGAAAATCTGAAAGATTGAAGACTGTCTAATTTAAATTGGTTGACAGTTCCAAATTTTGGGGGTATAGTGGCTAAAAGAAGCACCATAGATTCACTTAGGATTTATTGCATAGTTTTCCAAAAGACCAGCACTAGAACATTTTAAATTATGACTTGGAACATAATAACATGAAAATCAATCCGTTCTTGAACTGGCAACCAGTGTAATTGTATTAAAACTGTTAATATGGTCTCTCCTTCTTGATTTAATCAGTACTTTGCCCGCTGCATTTTGTATCAATTATAGCTAAGCTATGGTACATTATACATAGCATTACAGTAATCATGATGAGCAAAAATAATAAGTAAAGTTTTTGTCACTTTATTAATATGAGATTTAAAACTCAAATCTTAGTCCATAATCACACCTAGGTTCTTTACTTGTATCTTAGTTTTTAGAATAAAGGTGCATAATCCAGCTTTTATCCTTCCTCTTACATGCTCAGCGCCCACAATAAGAGTTTCAGTTTTATCTTCAAGCAACAGTGTCTCTGAAATCAGCTGAAATTTATAATTGTATATCATCTGCATAAAATTGCTAATGCATCCCATGTTTCTGAGTTATACTGGCCAGAAGTATAATGTATAATGATAATAAATGTAGCCTAAGAATTTAATCTTTAGGAACACCATATAGTATTTAATATTTATCTGATACATAGTCACCTATGTTAATAAATTATTACCTTTCTGCAATATATGTCTTGAACCAATTTAGAAGTTTAACCGATTAAGACAAAGTTCATATTGGTTTTTACCTCAAATTATTTACTACTTTAAATATGTTTACTTACTTAAAAATTATATGTTAGAAATTGGTCTCAGAATATTACAGAGAAAACAATGCAGAATATTACCGGAGAGACCAATTTCCAGTCAATTAAGCAAAATTAAATGATCATGTGTCAAATGCTTCACTTAGGTCAAAGAGGATTAAGACATGCATTGTTCATATTTTGTTTTATTTCAAATTATTTACTACATTATATTTTACATTTAATTAACTATATTAATTAAAGACATAGTCATTTAAACAACATACTTCAGGTATAGGTTCAAAATAGGAATATCACTGCGAAACAGTTTGCAAAAGTTTCTGTTCATTAGCTCTCCTGAACACTTCTATTTTATGCTGTGGATATATGATTCTTCTTGATTCTACTATAGAAATTGTATCAGTATAATTTACAGAAGACTTGATTTGTTTTATTATTATTATTCTTTATTTTTATTCAATATGCAGCAAAATGTTCACACATGGTTACAGAAGGATGATTTAACAAATTATGAGATTCGATATTTAAAATAGCATAAATAGTTGAAAAAAG